AAATAGAATTTGAAAATAAAGATATAATTTCAAACGAATGCAGAATAATATAAAAGACATAATTGATTTCAAGATATTTCATTTTTTGATTCCACATTAAATTGTTATTATTATTAAGTTTGAAGAAAACTTCAAATCCAAAGAAAAAGAAACTGACAAAATTTAAGAAATAGAATTTGAAAATAAAGATATAATTTCAAACGAGTGCAGAATAATATAAAAGACATAATTGATTTCAAGATATTTCATTTTTTGATTCCACATTAAATTGTTATTATTATTAAGTTTGAAGAAAACTTCAAATCCAAAGAAAAAGAAACTGACAAAATTTAAAAAATAGAATTTGAAAATAAAGATATAATTTCAAACGAATGCAGAATAATATAAAAGACATAATTCAAGATATTTAAACTTTTGATTCCACATTAAATTGTTGTTACTGTTAACTTTGAACAAAACTTCAAATTCAAATCCAGAAAAAAAAATTGATAAAATTTAAGAAATAGAATTTGAAAATAAAGATATAATTTTCAATAAAAGAAGCTAGCATAGTTTATTTGATTTGTTTGTAGAGAAAAAATGGAATCTATAAGAGAGGGAAGATATAATAATTATTTTAAGAATGATTTACCTTCAGCTACGCTTTCCTTGAGATCGCAATTGCTGCGTTCCTCGGACCTCGCTCGTTCCAATTCCTGTTCCAATTCCGTGGGTGTGTGTGGTGCGGTGTGGGGATGCGCGGGCGTTTCTGTAGGGTGGATGAACGGCTGGTAAAAGTGGTTCTCCAGAAGAAGCGGATGTGGCGCTGATGCGGGCCGGAAGGCAGTGCCGTCGCGCAACACACTCGCCCTTCCCAGGGTATCGACGTCGCTGGGCGATCTAAAAATATCCCCAAAAAACGTTCGATATCAAACTCTACTTCAAGAAATAGCAACGGAAAAATAATTTAGTTAATTCTAAAGTTTCAATTCGGAAATATCAAGTTTGATTATAAAGAAATATAACGATATACGTAACATAAGATATAAGAATATATATATATATTAGAATAAATATATATATATTTATGGATTTCACGTTTTAACAAAACACGAAATTACAGAATAAGAAAGCATAGTCTATAATTTCTCGAAGGAATCTATCCGTAAATGTGACATCGTTTTAACATGATCACCATATAAATATTACTTTATATAATATATTATACACTTGAAAAATACTAAATCACAAGAGACTACATTTCTACAACATTACAATATTTCTTAACCGACAATTCTTTCGCAACATCCTACTTTGGTATAACATCCTATCTATTACGCTTGATCAAAGGGTGAAGCCTAAAGCTAAAATTAATCTTCGATACGATGGAATGTCAATGACTCTCGATTCTTTAACGTGGAATTAGACTTCTTCGTTTTACGATTATCTATGACTCTATTCGCCATAGTTGAACGTATAGTTTGTAAAAGGGCTTACCTCATCAGCCTTTTCGGCAAGGTTTCGTAATAGTGAGAGGTAGCGGAGTAGAGGTTGGGCACGGGGTAAGCAGGGGCAGGAGACGGTGCTGGTGTACGGGCCCTCTTTATGGTGTTTCTCACCATGGTTGCTTCACCCGCTTCACCCATGTCGCTCACCTCGCCGACTCCTCCGCCAACGTCATCAACAACACCACCACCCACGTTACCGCTCACGGTACCACTGACGTTTCCGCTCACGTTCCCACTTCCGTTGTCACCGCTCCCGCTGCTCGCACCACCGTTTCCGCCGCCACCATCCCCGGTGTCCGTGGACGAGTTATTGTTCTCAGCGGCGTGCCTCTGCGCTACTGCCAGCTTTTCGTGCTCGATGGACAAACCCTTTACCTGCAAATCGAAAAGGATCGATCTGTGATTCGAAGAGATTTGGAGAATGTGGAAAAGAAAATACGAATGTATATATACGTAGTATTATTGCGACAGGAGAAATATAATTTATAATATAATTTGAAATCGAGGGGTTGGGCACGTTGTTAAATGTTATTAATTATTATATAAATTATTGGCATTAAAAAACAGAATGATGAATTTTTCCATCGTTTCAGTTTTGTTGTAAATAAGCGTATTATCTTCCTTAAAATATAGAATTCATCCAAGAAAAGTTCTATTATTATGTTCTATGTTATATTCTTTGAATAACCTTATGTTTTTATTCGTTCAAATAATTTCTATTGTAATAATTTTTATACTCTTTAATTTTCTTCAATTTCTATTAGATATATATATATATTTTTATCAAATATAAAATTTTTAAATCAATTTTTAATTCCTTCTACAATTTCATTTATTGTATGTATATATAAATTTAATTTAACAATAATAATTTAATAATTGTTAATAATTTAATAATTTAATTAATTAATAACTTAAATAATTTAATTTACTTTATATATATATAAAGTAAGTGAAATTGTAGAAGGAACTAAGAATTGATTTAAAAATTTTATATTTGATAAAAATATTTTGAAATAAACAAAATAGATTCAAGAAATATTAACAAGAAACGTGATGTTGATAAAACAAATGAAATATAAGAAATATTACATTAATTATGGAAATTTTTTAAAAGAATTCAATCAGAAAGTATATAATTATAACATCAAACAATTTAGTAACTAGATGAAAATCTAACTAGATGAAATTACATACTGAAGAACCTATTATGTGATAAATTGACATAAACTTAGACGGCTTCGGCCATTAACATTTTAAGAAAATACTCAAAATAATACAATTATTGCTCTTCCTAAATATAATAAACATTTTATCAATTTCTTTAATATCATATATATTATCATTTAACGCCAAAACAAGAAATCATAAGAATGATCTTGCCTACAAAAAAAAAATAGTAGAAATCTCTTTAAAAATAAAACGATGTTAAAACAAAGAATGTTGCAATACCACGTTCTTTCAGAGAGCATTGACACAGCTTCGTTTTACTCTCGTTCGTCGACGTTCCAAGAACAGGAACTTCTGTTCATTAATCGCGGCCAAAAATAAAAAATAAAGTGAAAAAAATAAGAAAAAAAAAGGATGCTCCCCGAAAGAATGCAAAGTACGCGCCCGCATTCGAGACACGTGACTGCTATTTAGGGCAATTATTTCAAAAGAGATGAAATAAGTCGCATACTTGAAGGCATTCGGCTGCTTTGAGGAAAGAGCTGAGGGATTCCTGGGACACGTGTACCTCTCCACGGTACATGAATTCGAGAAGGGACGCCATATTGTGGGCACTCGTTCCATCGAGAATAACGATCAGTCCCGCGGGAGAAGGAGGCATTCCTTCGAACAGCTCTTGAAAGTGTTTGCTGCATGCTGCGAGAATTAACCTGTGCGCCTTGAACGTTACTCCTGGAACACACGCAATAATAAAGATTTGTTAATACATGAGAAACACGGTGTCCTTCAAACATTCGTGTAAGCTGCTTCCAAGACTACGATTTGGTTGCTTCTTACGAAGATTCGTTTTGTGCAATAGATTTTTCTTCCATCTTTTTATTCCTATCGTTTGAACGAATTTCGTTTGTTCGATCGATCCTTTCGAGATTGATAAGACAGCATATTCCAAAAATCTGAATTTATAATTTTTTTCGATAGTACTGAGTAGGAATACTTATTAGATCGCGAAATTTTAAAACTTTCGGCTGGAAATAATTTTCGAATAATAATTGTCATTCATTATTTTCGGATTGAAAATTAGACATATAAACAATTCGAAATATCTAAAGCAAAACTGTCTGTATACAGCTGAGACGAGATAATAAGAACCACGTGAACAACAAAAGCTGAATATTTTTTACTACCGTGGGGTTGGATTAACCGTGTTTTCCAAGAATTACTCGAATTTGTTTCGTGCGTCTATTCTGATCTCTCTCTCTCTCTCTCTCTCTCTCTCTCTCTTTTTTTCTCACGGCTTTCATGTCATATCCGAGGCAAGGACCGCGGGAATTTTGGCGTGCAAAGGAAGTGGTGACTGTCGAACCCTTTTTTACCACTCGCTCTCCATTTCCCTCCACGAACGGACATAAAGGAGCCGAGGAGCAACGCCAGCTTGACGCCGATGCCCTTTCTTGCAGCCCGCTGGTTATGTAGGTCATCCTCGGACACGATCTTTCGTAATTTACGATTCACGTGCGCAAGTGTAACGTGCGCGTAATACGATATCGGTGCGCGTCTAACGAATATGGCGCCGCCACAGATTCTACGACAAAATCCGTGAGGGACATATGTATCTTTTGTCCATCGAAATCGTCGTTAGATTCGAATTTTGGGACAAGGGATGATTATTTTTTTTTTTTAGGAGAAGATTTTTTAACAATAAGTATATGTGTATCTCGATAAATATTGAGCACCTAATCCTTTAATAATATGTTTTTTTTCTAAGAAAAAATAGTGTTGTTAAGAAATGTTAAGAGAATAATTCAAATTTCTTTTCGATGCAAAGAATATAAATATTTTTGAATTACACTTGAATTAATTTATGGACAGAGGGTAATCAAAAATAGATATGAAATAGAAATATAATATTGTTCTCGTTTTTGATAGGGACACTTGACGAGCTTCACGCAAACATTGTTATTGGACAATTATGAACGGAACAGGGAAGATGAGAGGAGACACAATAACACGATATCCTAGGAATAAGGAAATCAAGAAGGGAAAAAAAGAAGACACGCGAGAACAGGCGACCAGGTGGCCGAAACCACCTGCCTTTCGGAATGGCTCACCTAACTAAAGCGTATCGAGTTTTTCGGTACTCCTTGACATTCGAAGATTCGTTTAAAAAAAAAAAAAGGGGGAATTCTCAACCCTTTCGTGGGCCATTCCTTCGCCTCCACGTGTGTGCAAATTATTCTGAAATTTCGCCCCAACTAAATTCGATTATATGATTTGCATTGATTTAAAAAGCTCATGGATGTATATACTTGATCATAAAATGCATCATTTGAACGATTGAATAAATAATGATAACGATAAATATTAATAAATTTGTATATAAAATTGTAAATTCAACTTCAATAATTAGAAAAATAATTCTACATTGAAAGACATATTCAGATGTATCCAAATGTTATCTGATCAAAATGTTATTAAATGTATGTAATTATCTCCTTATTTTATCTCAATAAATTATCTCAAATAAAGTCATTTAAAAATAACATATCTTAAAACAAAATGAAATTGCTTACCATATTTAAAATGGTTGGAATAATTCGATATTTTATTTCTTTATCTTTTCACTTATTTTTTACATTTAAATTTTATCATACTCCTAAAATCTATTCAACATTGTCGATCCTTGGCAAACTAAATAAGCGACAACGCTTTCGTTTTCATCCTACGATAAAAGCAATTTGATCTTTCGAAGAAATCGTCTTTATATTGTAAAAAAAAAAAAATATAAAAATTTGTCTACTCAAAAAATACGTATCATCGAATATCGGTAAAAAGTCGACTATAGAAAAAGAAGAAAATAAATTCACGATGAATGGAGAAACGCAAGGGCTCGAATATTTGCAACCTACCAAATATAGCAAGCTGTGTATCGTTACAGGTATCCAAGCCAAATATACATCCTAGATGTATATGTGCAGGGGCCAACGACCGGGTCGCGTGTGCGTGTGTAGGCGTTTTGCGTAGCGTGTTCGTGGCTTATGCCAACGGCTCATAACCAGGACCCGGAAACATGTGCCTGGCATTCCCGTATCCTTTGTGTGGATCGGCGCAGCAAAAATAAGACACGGATGTGTTTCAGCTTGGAATCTCTGAAAACACTCCTACGAATCACGAAATGATACCAACTTCTTTCCTATATTACAGTTTCTTTTCTAAATCTAACGGCAATGGCGCGTTTTCAAGGATTGAAAAATAGATTTCTTTTTTCTTTACTTTATATATATATATACTTTCGAACTTGATTCTCTTAACTTTCTTTTAATTATGATTCTTTTATTCTCGTTTAATTTTCTGATTGGTTAATTTTGCAAAATTTAATTAATGTTATATTCATAAGTTTTTATTAGGAAACTCTTTTTTTTTGAGGGATAAAATCGATTTTTAATTTACAGATTGGAGATTTTTATGTAATTATTTTTATTATTATTTAAATTATTGCATGTTCATAGTATTATAATATATTGTAATGCATAAAAATGAAAGGTTTTTAGAAGATTTAAAATTCGAGGATGATTTAAAAAGCAAATGAAATTTATGTTAAATTGTTTACGCTTTTACTTTCTTTCATAATCTAACTTAGCTGAATAGTGCACAAAAGAATATTCTCGTCCAAGAGCTCCGCTTCTGGTAACCATCATGGTGACTCACACGCCATGGAATGAATAACTTCGGGACTCAATGAAGTACACTATCTTTTTTAAAAATTCTGCATGTATTTCTATATTCTAAACATGTATTACGTATCCAGATATGAAATGTTATCATAGCCAACATTAAATAATTTTGATGTTCGTCAAAATTTCAATTCAAAATTCAATATTAATTTTTAAATATGTATATCATCTTATTTTTAAAAATTTAATGTATAACATTATAACGAAACATAAGAATATATTATAAAAATATTTTTAAAATTATCAACAGTAAATTTATTACCATTACCTTCATTCGAATGATTTTTAACCGAATGAAGCGATAAACAAATAATACGCATTGTTTATATGCTATTTTAACGCTATCGCGAGCGCAACATTATCGTTTTCTACAAAAATTTTTAATCTTAGCTTTTAAACGCATATCAGATATAATACCGCATCGATAATGAATTTTACTCGAGATTCTATCTTTTTCGAATTTTTTTAAATCGAGATCCCTAGGATAAAAATTTATAAAAATTAATTTTCAGATTATCTGAGATCTGTTGTTATAAAAAATTTGAATCTTTCCATTTTTAAATCCAAGACTCTGTTAAATACAAAAATTAATTTTTCGACGTAATTCTATTAAGAAGATCGTTAAAAATCGAATTTTATTTTTGTGATAATGATATTTTTTTAAATTTTGTTTACATCATGACATGAGAAATTGATACACGAATATTCGAATCGAGCCAACGAAACATGACAGTTCTTAATAGGCAAACAATCAGTGGAAGGATCTGTTAAACGAAGCCTATTAGCTTAAGAACGAGAAATTAATTCACTACATCTATAACCTCCACGTCGAGAAGAAACTTGCAAATAACACGCGTTCAGTTACGCAACGGAGCAATGCACTCTTCACGGGCAATCTATTCATACTTCAAGGCCAGCTGCTAAGGAGTTTTATGGGCTAGGGTTTTCAGTTTCCTACCATGGTCATCGTTTCCTTCACCGTTTCGTTCATTGTAATTCTATTACTCCGTGCACGTATATCTATACGGAGAACCCGGAAACGGTATAAATTACTTCAAAAATTATCGAATCTTTAATTTATTTTTTGCAACGAAATCTCCAAATGTATTCTTTACAATTTATATGTATACACATTTATTTCGTGAAAATAATCTTTTGGAAAAGAAGTTAAATAATTAATCAACAATTTTATCGTGCCATAAAAATCATAATTAATGAATTTCTTATGAAAAATGGAGTTCTATTATAATTCTTTATCCATTTCGAAAAAGAATGCTTTCTCGAAGAAAGAATGAGCAATCATCTTTCCACAGCATTTTTTCATACATTCGAATCACGTGCATCATACGTAATGTACAAAAATTAATAACACGAAATGTTCCTCTTTTGAAGTGCGCGAAAAGATAAAAAGGTTGATTCGTTGGGAATACGATAGGCTGTTGGTTATAGCGACAAAGGAAGACAGATCTAAGGGACGAACACAACGGTCAATGGCCCGACAAGGTCGTCAATGCAGAGTGCGCGAGCTAGTTCCCCTCTGTAGCTGAATTTTGCCGCCAGATTCCGTATATACGCGTGTGCGATCACATGTACGATGCCTAGGCAGCGGTTCGTTTAGAGCAAACCGACCAATCACGGCGATCGGCTTCTTTTGGTCCTGGCCAATGGCCGCGTGGGACCAAGGTCGCAGCGCTCGCACATGTTTTTCCTTCGCCTAGTTATATATACTCACGCCGGGCTGCACGATCGGGACGATTCGCGAGGGTAAGGAGGGAGAGAGCCAAACACTCGTTCGGGAGAATTCGGGCGCGCGAAAATCGACGAGTGGTGGGGGTGGCCGTGAGCTTTGAAACTTAGTCGCGCGGTCGAAAAATTGGCATCGATGACCACGTGTGTCGTGCAATCGCATGTGGACAATTTGCAACGATTAGAACTAAACATTTAATATTTAAAATGTTCGTGATGTAAATAATATTCTAGACGAGACAGAGAATTTTATTA